TTTTATCGTTCTTGCCCTCTGCAAGCTACTTATTCTATTAATGGGATTGCCTTAGAAAAATTAACCCAGGTTAATGATCTCGGCATCCTATTAGACATAAAACTTAAATTTGCCGACCATATTTCCTTAATGGTTAATAAGGCTAAAGGAGTCCTTGGTTTTATCAAAAGGTGGTCAAAAGAATTTAATGACCCCTATATAACCAAAACACTATTCATTTCTTTGGTCCGTCCTATACTGGAGTACGGTTCATGTGTCTGGAGTCCCCAATATGGAGTACATCAGGACCGCATAGAATCCGTACAAAAGAATTTCCTAACTTTTTCACTTAGAGGTCTAAACTGGGATGCAAATCTTAAACTTCCATCTTATAGTAGTAGACTCTTACTCATAAACTTACCTAGCTTAACAAATCGTAGGACAATGCTCGGTGTAGTTTTTCTGCATAACCTTTTTAACGGGGATGTAGATAGCCAGCATTTACTAACACGCTTAAATTTTAACACTCCTAATAGAAGGACTCGAAACTTTAGTCCTCTGTTCCTTAGCCGTTGTAGTTCGACATATGCACTACATGACCCTTTTAGGGTATTATGTTCGAACTACAATGGTCTCTACTCTATTACATCTCTTTCCTCTCCCTCTAACTTAAAATATAGAATTTTAAATTTCCTTACTAACTCCTCTTAGCTTAATAATTAACAAATAACTTAATATATTCTAACAAATCGTTTCTTGAGCGCCCCTCGGTCGTCTGGGCCTTTAAGCTTTATGATGAATACAGGAATGCTAGCTGATGCTCTTATTGATGCACAAACCATTTCCAAATTCTGCAAGACCGGTTAAAAAAAAAAAAAAAAAAAATCGGAATAGGTATTTGGTAAAATACCAATGTTGGTATTTTTGAAAATAGAAGCTTGGGACTTTTTTTTAGATTTATTCTTTTAGACTTGTTCTTTTATATATTCTCGTAAGGATCGACCAACTATATCTGATGTTTTCGGTTTTAACTGCAAGGGTATATCAACTTCGGCCCGAAGTTAGCTTTCCTTTCTTGTTTTTTACTGTTTTATAAAAAAATATTTTCGAGTCTTGCCGCCGCCAGAAAATTGTACATTTCCCGAAGTTAGCTTTCCTTTCATGTTTTTTATTGTTTTATAAAAAAATATTTTCGAGTCATGCAGCCGCCAGAAAATTTTATTTTATCAACAAGGGGATTCTTAACATTAATTTCAGTTTACCCAAAAATGCTCGGATCTTCTAAATTGTTATCTTTTAGGTCTTGTGTGAGCAGCGGGAATTGTATAGTTTTATCACTTTATTAATTTAAACAATTTGTCTTATTATTGCATATATTTCATTATAGCGGAAGCGTTCCCTGTACGGGCTTTGCTCATGTGCACCCGTCCTTTGCTCGCTCAGGCGTACTTCTTATATTCTCACATATGTCCCTAAATCCCTTTCGCCTATGGTGGTCGACCCCTTTATACAAACGCAATAGCCGCCAAGCACCGGGAGTCTGCACTTGTCATAAGCTCCCCGCGCCGCTATGACTACCACCCTTCACCACTCGCTCCGCTCCGTATATACCACCAAAATAAAGGCATATAAATTTATCGCTTTAATTATTTATTGAACCTGGGAAGCTTGCCGGCTACTGAAAACGCTCCATAGCTCAGCATTTTTTTCCGCCTCTACCAAGGTCCGACTGGCGTAGGCGATCCCTCACTCACCCTCCTCAGAGTCCTTCGTCAGGATCGCAACGACGCCGTAGTTGCTGGCGTCCGTTTGCAGCCCGAATCTTGTTTCAAAATCTGGGCATTATAGCACGGTTCAGTGTCTCAAGCGCCTCCTGGTGTTTGGCCGTCAATTTACATTGCGTCCCATTCCGTTCAGTTGCTTCGCGATTCCTGCGAATTCTGGGACGAATTGCCGATACCATGACGCCATCCCGATAAACTGTCGTACTCCCTTTACGTTGGCTATGGTTGTAGCTCTCTTATTTCCTATTTAAATCCTCCATTGACCAGTTTTCATCTTCACCATCACAATGGGTGAGCTGCACGCGCCTTTTGACGGCTCGATGCACCCTTTCTCCAGGAGAACTTTCACCTTCAAGCTTATCTCCTTTTTTAATTTTTTCTTTTTTGGAATGAACCATCATCCCAACCATCTTTGTACCCTGACGTGCAGTAACTCCTCCATCGCCCCAGGAATCGAGTTTGTATCTAATCCGTATGTTTTAAACACCATGGTCCAGGAATTCTAACGTTCTCCTGTCACGTCGAATCGAAACTACCATTCCGCACCTGCCAAGCCATTCATGGGACATAGTCCATACGCATAGTCCATGGGACACGCTTCTTGGAATGTGGCTCCATAATTCTTTCAGACTCGTCTCGGGTCTCGTCGACCCATTTCGCGACCAGCAATCGCATGGTTTCCACGACTCTATCTGCTAGAAGTCCAAGCTCTCTGCATACCTTGTTTAGCTCGTCTTTTCTGAGCCTGTAGATCTAGTTTTGTCATCCGTTCATCCACCCGTCGCTCACCAGTCACCGTTATGGTGTGGTCTCCATTAATTACACTGCCCAAGCATACGCCGAAAGGATCCGCTGCCTTTGTTCCTAACAGCCGGACAAGCGCATTAGGGCCTTCCTTCCTTTCGGGACACAAACACGGCTTGCGTTTTCCACCGGTCTTCACACACTTGCGCGCATACGCGCTGCCGGATCCATGACGGCCCAAAAACTAGTCGTTGCCCCAGGATTGTCTCATGCTCTCCTCCTGCTAGCCTTTTGTCCTCTGGCTGAGAAGGGCATGGCCAGTTGTCCAAGAGACTACTTTTTCATAACTGATTAGCCACAAGCTCCTTCTTTCCTCTTCCTACACCTACACTTGCTTACACTTGAGCTGACCTAGGATTGACCTTTTTTTCAGCCCTGCATGTGGATCTTCATATATCTTCTCGTCGCGTAACTGCTCTACTTACGCCTGATCCCAACATCTGATTCCGCTAAACCTGACCGTGCCCTAACCCCTCGCAAGGCAATCGCCACATAGTTACTCATTCTCTGGCTCCCGCTCCCACGGGCCTTCGCAAGCATCTTCCGCTAGAACCGACAGTGTCCTTTTCCCGTTTTCACCTCTCCAGAAACGGATCCATTTATAGCAGATTTACCAAAAGCAACTTCTCTTCTGTTCCTAGGCCAAAATTTGCTTCTATTTTACCGAAAATTAGCAGGTGCTCCACTGTCCGATTTCATAGAACTAGAAGAAAATTAGAGATTATTGGAGAATTAGAGAAACCCGCTCTCCTACCCTTCCCCTAACCTTCAATTTGGCTTCAGTTTATAATTAACCCGAACCCGCATTGAAATAAAATTTAAATTTTTTTTAGGTCTTTAAGGGTTATATAGCTTTGAAAAGAGGTACAAACAATTGAAAAATATAATATTATTACAATAAAACAAAAAAGTAAATACCTCTAGTTTGATTTAAACTCGATTCACTTCCACACCAGCCGAGATATCCCACTCGGCTATCCCTAACTCGTTGTCGCGCGAAAAATGTCTGGAACTTAGTTTGTTTCTCTGTGGTATCCACATGTCTATAGGAACACTTTTGTTTCTATTATATGTCCCATCTATGTACTACATGGATCAATAAGTCCCGAGAATAAACCAAAAATGGCGCTCGTAGTAAGCCAGTAACCAGGTCTTTCAAGTGTACCAGCCTTTACTTAAATAAAGTTAAAATTTTAAGTCGATCGGACCAGAAACAGCTGAGTAATCGAGGTTGGAATGAAATCGTTTTGTAGTTTGTTTAAAAAATGGAAAAAGCCGAGTTTTGTGTTCTCGGCTTTGTGTATACCGTGCAAGCGAAACAATGGATTTAAAAATGTTACCTAGACTCTTGTCCATCACGCTCGGGTAGACCTGTGCAAGCCGTTGCACCGGAAAATGTGTGTGAAGTGAAAAAAATTATAATGAAAGATCGTGAGATCGCTGAGATGATACAGACACCGTATGGAAGTGTATTTAGTATCCTTCATAAAAACATAAATATGAAAAAGATTTTTTTCAAGTGGGTGCCGTGATTGCTTTCGATGGAACAAAAACAACAACATGGTATTTATTTATTTATTTATTTATAAAGGGCTAACAGATAATTAAAATTATGGGCTAGCAATAATGTTGAGCAATGGCAACTTGTGCATTCAGCTCGATTTGTACATAATATTTTTAGGATTTCTTATAAGTATTTATTTATATAATCGGCTCAGATAGAATGAAGTTATATGCGGTGGTATAAATTTGTGTTTTTTAGGAATTGAAGGATTGTTGAAATGTTTGGTGGTGTGGGGTTTGAAAGTGCTTCCAGTAAGTTGGTGTTTTGAAACATTTGTTGTCTTTGGATGTTAAGCGCGTTGCAGGTGGAAAGTAAGTGTGTTATTGTTACAGTATCGATGCAGAAAGGGCCAGTCTTGTTGTGGTTTGGATCGATGTAGTGTGTGTGGGTTAATTTGGTGTGTCCAAGTCTGAGTCTTGTTATTTTTATTTGGTCAAAACGTGAGATGGCTGGATGGTTGTTTTTGGTGATGTGGTAGCTGTTGAGTTTGAGTTGGTCAATTGATTGGTACCAAGTTGATGTCTTCGTTATGTATGATAGTGTTTTTTCTTGGTGAGTATTTATTATATATTTTTGTATATCTTTTGTGTTTAGATTTTCAACCGTTAGAAGTGGTTGCGTTTTTGTCTAGGTTCGTTAGTTCCGCCAGTTCGTTACCTGCAATACCTACGTGGCCGGGTATCCAAAGTAGTTTCAATTTAGATTTGAATTTTTGGAGCAGGTTCCGTGCGTGTGAGGTGTAGTGTTCGCTGTTGTTCGGGTTTTTTATTGCATCGATTGCATGGATGTTCATGGATGATGGATAATTGGGGCTTCAGACAGGCGGGACGACCGCTAGGCATTGATCGCCCGCCAACTCTCCACCCTACCGCCTCTCCTGCTCGATGCTCCTGAGCCTCTGCATTAACGATGCAGCAAAAGCTTCTACTGCGTCCCAGAGCATCTGGTTCTCCAGCATTACCTCCACTAGGTTTACCGGGTGCCTCCCGTCCTCGACTATCGCTCTCCCGCACTCCGGGCATCAGTCCTATTGCCGGAAGCAACCATGTCCACTCAAGACCTGGGTCAGGTAAAAGTCCACCTGCCCGTGGCTTCGCAGCACCCACCTTCTAAGGTTAGTAATGAGGGTGTGTGTCCATCGTCCCTTCGTCGACGCGTCCCAGCAATCCTGCCAGGCTGTGAGCTACCACTCCTTGGCCTCCTCCTTTGCAGCTGTATTGGTGGTGCCGCCGGCTCCATGAGCTCTCGAGCGCGCTCCTTCAGCGGGACTATCCCCGCAATGACCAGAATGGCGTCGTCGAAGACTGTCCTGAAGCCGCACGCGACTCTTATAGCACCCAGCCTGTAAGCTGCATCTACCCCTCTCCTGTAGCTGGGCGTATTCATCGCCTCAGCCCAGATGGGCGCTGCATTCAAAATTTCCGCCGAGGCAACGCTCACGAGGAGCCTTCTCCGGTTCTGCTTGGGGCCTCTGGTGTTTAGAAAGATCCTGGCGAGGCCCCTGGTAGTGGCTGCAGCCGTTTCCTCGATATATTCAAGGTGCTCGCGGAAGGAGAACCGGGCGTCGATCATCACACCCAGGTATTTTTTGGCCCGCTGGGGGGTTATGGCCATTCCACCAACCCGGATTGTCGCCGTTTCCAGCACCTTGCGGCTACTGACCAGCACCGCTTCGGTCTTTTGCGGGGCTCCGCTTAGACCGGCATTTTGGAGCCACATCTCCATTGCCTCGATTGCCTTGTTCGTCGCTCTCTCCGCTTCCTCCCTGTGCTTGGCTACAATCACCAACGCTACGTCGTCTGCGAAGCCAACGACGTCGCATCCCGCTGGGAGCTGGAGCCTCAGGATCCCGTCATACATGGCGATCCACAGCAGCGGCCCTAGGACCGATCCTTGGGGCACACCCGCCGTAACGTCGAATGACTCCGTGCCCATGTCCGTGTCGACCAGTAGCACTCTGCAGCTAAAGTAGCTACTGACGACGTTTATTATGGCACTGGGAACGTTGAACCCCCTTAGGGCTGCCAGTGTTTTGCCCCAGTCCGCCGTGTTGAAGGCGTTCCTGATGTCCAGGGTGACTATCAGGCAGTATTGCTTGGAGCCACCTTTCCACCTGGTTGCCGTTATTGTGTTGCGTGCAATGCCGACCACCTCTGCTATGGCATCCACCATAGACCTTTCCTTCCGGAACCCATACTGCTTGGGAGACAGCCCTCCCGCCTCCTCTATGGCAGCTTCGAGCCTCGCCGCGATCACCCTCTTGAAGACCTTGCCCGTTGTGTCCAGCAGGCAGATTGGCCTATAGGACGACGCCTCCTCCCTTGGTTTCCCTGGTTTGAGGAGCAGCAAGAGTCTGTACCTTCCACTTGGTGGGAAAAGTGCCTTCGCGGATACATTTATTGTAGAGCTCCTGAAAGCTGCCCGGCTGCAGAGATAGAGCCAGCGTCAGGGCTCGGTTAGGAACCGAATCCGGGCCGGGTGCTTTGTTCGGGGCCAGGCCTCTCCCTATGGCCAGAACTTCCTCTTCCGTTACCTCCTCAGCCGGTTCATTGTCTGCTGGGGGGGTGGGAAGCGGGGTGACCTGGTTGCCGGCTGGGAACAGTGCTTGCACTATGGTCCTTAGGACGTTCGGGTCCGTGGGGGACTGGCTTCCTGCGCGCAGCCTCTTCACCACTATCCGGTGCGCGTTGCCCCATGGATTTTCCTCCGCCAAGTCGCATAGATCCAGGAAGCATTTCCTTTTACTGTCTCGGATGGCTTTGCGTCGGTCCTTGAAGGCTAGGTGCCGCTCTTCAAAGTTGTCGCTGCCTCTCGCGCGCTGCATAAGCCTCCTTGCTCTCATGCACTCAGCTCGGATGGAGCCAATCTCGTCGCTCCACCAGTAAACGGGAGCGTGGTTCCTACGGTAGCGGCTTCTCCGCTGCATGCTCGCCATGCACGCTGCCTCCAGCTTAGCAGCCAGGGTATCAGCCATTTCGTTGGCTCCGCTTGGTAAAACGTTGCCGATGTCGCGCGCGGCCTCGGTGAATTTCCTCGCCTGGAGCGTGCCGACTCTGTAGTCTCGTGGATTCGGATCCCTCGGTAGTTCTTGAGGGCTACCAATTGAGCACAATATTGCTTCGTGGTCGATTGGCCGTAAAGGCTTGCGAACGTCAGGTCTATGATGGAACCTGCTCCGGCTCTGCTGAAGGTGTGCTGGTTTCCTTCGTTCAGCAGTACGAGATCGAGTGAGTCCAGCGCCCATGCGTTAAAGTCCCCTGCTACAAGGACGTCAGAACGGCCACTGATATCATTTCCTAGGCAGTCCATCATGCGCTCAAACTCATTGGTGGTTAGGCTAGGTGCCATGTAGCAGCTGTAAAGCCATGCCCCACCTATCCGAGCCCTTACGAATCCCTCCGCATTGTGCACTGAGTGCATTGTCGCGCCGGTTGCGCCGCAGCTCCAGATGGCAGCCTTCCCTGATAGGTCAACGGCCCAGCAGTTGTCTGAGCCAGTCCTAAGGGGCTCGCTTAGGAGCGCTATGTCCGCCTTCGTCTCCCTCGCAGTCTGCGACAGCACATCTTGAGCCGCCCTACAGGGGTTCAGGTTCAGCTGAAGCACTAGCATCCTGTCGTCCTAGGTCCACCTCCATTCGCTGACATGGGGCAACTTCTGCTTCCAGCCTGATGCCTCACATCCTTCCGGCCCTTATCTTCACACGAGAAGCATCGAGGGTCCTTTTTGCAGGTGGCCGCCCTATGGTCCGTGTCTCCGCAGCGGTAGCAACAGCCGCTCCTGTCATTCGAGCTCTTGCAAGCGCTTGCGATGTGCCCCATCCCAAGGCACCTGTAGCAGCGAGCCACGACCTCCTTTTCCTTCATATGGCATACTGACCACCCAACTTTCACCTTGCCCACAGCAATGATGACCTTGGCAAGGCTCGCGGGGAAAGCCACGATAGCGGTCTGCGGCTCGCCATAACTGGCCTTGGCAAGGCTCGCGGGAAAAGCTACGATAGCGGTCTGCGTCTCGCCATAACTGCTGCTCAGCTTCTTGACTTTCAAGGCGCCTTGGTCCACCGCTGCCTGCTGCGCGATAGCCCCGATGATGTCCTCCGAAGTGGCTAGTGCGTCGAGTCCTCGTAGCTCGACAAGCGACTCCTTGGTCTCCTTCGAGTACGCCCGCACCTCTGCCTTGCTCCCTAGGACCTCCTCGATGCAACCTTTAGGGGCCTGTGTGGAGTTCTCCTTCTTCCTGGCCAATTCCAGTAGCAGCCCGCCCTTGGCTGTCTTCCTCACTTTCTTGACGCATGGGCCAAGGTCGTCTAGCTTCCCGTCCTCCCTGAGAGTTACCATGCTTAGGATCTGGCTGTACGTCAGGCCTACTGCTTGGATCACTATGGCGTCGGGTCTGGCTCGTCTCCTCTCCGGATTTCTAGGCTTGGCCTTCGTCCATTCCGTCCTTCTCCTGCTTGCTTCGCCGTCGCTTCCTTTGTCGGCAGCCGGGTTTGCAACAGCTGGCTTGGGCCTTGCCGCCGTGTTGGCCGTTGCTACTTTGGCCCCCGAGTCCCTTGCAGTAGTTTTCCAGTGTGCACTCCAGGGGCCCGTGATGTTTGGGATGCTGTACCGCTCCTGCTCGGTCGCCAAAGCCCCTTTTGAGGGTGAACCGCCGTAGCGGAGGGGTTGGCAGTTGGTTAGCTCCATGACCTTCGTCACCTCATGGCAGGACAGAGTTTTCTAGCCCCTTCCGCACTAGGTTGGTCAAAGGACCTGAGGCAGCAGGCCTGAAAGGTATGCCACCCTTCTGCTTTGCCTTGAGTCGCTGGCGCCCTCTAGCGGGCTCCTGCAGTCGCGTCATTGCGACGTTCGGCAGCCCTGGTGCTCTTGGTTCGGATCTAGCGGCCTCTACCGGCAGACACTGTTAGGGCGTTCCCCAACACTGCCCGCCAGCTGGTTACGATCAGCTGCCATGACCTGCGCAATTCTGGTGGGGGCAGCCACGTTTGCTTAGCTCCTTCAACTCAGGAGAAAGGTGTCGCAAAGAGAATTCCTAGAAGAGAAAGCTCTCTTCGCGCCTCTTACCTCGGCGGTTGGCGGCTATCCGAATCTTCGCGGAGGCCATCTAGTGACCTATCCAGGGAGTGTTATGGTTCGCTCGGCAGGTGAGACCGTCCCCAGCTGTCCGGTCACCCATTACCCACTCCTTTTTTAAATTTTGCAGTGTTTGGGCGCGTCAATCGGGAGTGCCCGCGCGGCACGTCCGCTTTCTTCGACCCGCACTTTCAACCAGCCTAGGTGTGGTCTGTGAGTGTTGACTAGTCAGCTTAAGTGGGAGATTATGTGCTTCGGATCTGTCTTCTAGAGTGTCTGCGCGTTCTTTGTACAAGATGTTGTTAATAGGTGTAGTTCGAATTGCCCCAAGAGCACTTCTGAAAGCGGTGTTTATTGTTGCTTTTCCTTCCGTAGGTTTGTTGTGGGCAATATCCGTAGATTGGGAGACCGTAGTCTGCTTTTGAAAGTGGTGATAGTTGCTTTTGTGACGTTTAGAAGTGTGGATGTGTTGCAGTTGAATTTTGGGCTTGAGAGGCATTTTATTATGTTTATTGATTGTTTGAGGTTGTGTAAGAGTTGTTCTGTGTGTGTTTTCCACCTGTGTTTGTTATTAAAGTGTACGCCGAGTATTTTAAGTGATGTTACGTTTTGTATTTGTGTGTTACCAGTGGTTACCATAGGGTAACCCTATGTTACCATAGGGTGCAGTTGCAGTTTTCTGCAAACGTGCAAGTGTTTGCATTTTGTGGATGAAAGCTGGGCGCCTGAGTACTCGGTCCAATCTAGTATGGTAGTAATAATGGGGTTGAGGTTTGTGTTTATGTTTTTTCTGTTTTTAGTGTTACAATCAAGTTAAAGTCATCTCCATATGCGCTTAGACTAATATTGCGATGAAGGGCGAGTTTTTCTGCGCGTTTGTTGTATGCTATAACAAAGAGGATCACGGAAAGTGGAGAGCCTTGAGGTATGCCGTTTTGGATGTATTGAAAGGAAGAAAGGTCGGAGTTGATACGTACTATTATTTATCTGTTTGTCATATAATTTTTTATGTAGTTGGTTATTTTTGGTCCTGTTTTCCAAATGGCAAGTTGGTTGAGTATGGAGTGGATTCCAATTCTGTCGAAGGCTTTTGCGAAATCTAAGGATATGATGGAGGTATGGTTTTTTCTTGAGATAGCTCTTGCTAATAGATGGTCTACGAGCTGTCCATAGCTGACTTACCTTTTCGGAAACCAGTTTGGCTGTTTTAGATGAGTTTGTCGTTTAATACAAACCACCACAGTCGTTTGGCAATCATTTTGTCGTTTTTAATTTTGTTTTTTATAAATTATGTGCTGAATTTTAAGTCGGATGAAATTTCTGAAAAATGGTTGCAAAATAAGTCTGCGATTTCTAATTTGTAGGTGGTGTTTTGATTTGAGGTTGTGTTAAATATGCAGTGTATGTGTTTGTCGGGTCAAGCAGCAGCACGGCGTTTAATGTTTATGTTTAAATTATGTTTATGTAATGTTTAGTGTAATGATTAGTGTAATGTTTATTTATTAGGCTTAAGTTTGTACAAAAGCTTTGTTGATCGCAAGCCGACTCTCTCTCGGCCGCTCGACTCAACGAGTTTTAGCTTTCTATGGAGAGTTTTAGCTCGGCAATGTCTAGGTCGGGCCGCCCTCTCCACTTTCGAGAGCTTTAGCTCGAGGTGACTTGTCGGGCCGCCCTCTCTCTGTATTTACTTGAGTGCACCATAAGCTGGTCTATCTGCGGATCATCCGGCTTCAACTGCATGCAGGAATAAACATTTTTTATAACGTTCAAAATTAACAAATTCGTCTTTTTATGTACGGCATTGAAAACGCTCAATGACCAAACAGTGTTTTTGTGGGTTGAGTCCGCAAAAGCGTCGGATGTTACTCCAGATTGTTTTTGGCGGTGTTTCGGGTGAGATTTGTGTAGTAAAATTGTTTATGCTTCGTTTTTATACCCTTGCAGAGGGTATTATAATTTTGGTCAAAAGTGTGCAACGCAGTGAAGGAGACATCTCCGACCCTATAAAGTATATATATTCTTGATCAGGATCACCTCCTGAGTTGATATGAGCATGTCCGTCTGTCCGTCTGTCCGTCTGTCCGTCTGTCTGTCTGTTTCTACGCGAACTAGTCTCTCAGTTTTAAAGCTATCGACTTGAAACTTTGCACACACCCTTCTTTCCCTTGCACGCAGTCGGAACGGCCCGGATCGGCCGACTATATCCTATAGCTGCCATATAACTGATTGATCGAAAATGGTATAACTTTGATGTTTTTAGAGTTAGAGAGTTCAAATTTGACATGAGAGCTATTTTTGGCAAAACATTATGTCATGCCAAATTTCATAAGGATCGGCCGACTATATTCTATAGCTGCCATATAACTGAACGATCGGAAATGACCCAACTTTCGTGTTTTTGAAGCTAGAAAGCTGGAATTTAATACAGATTCTATTTTTGGTCAGTTGATCCAACCTACCAAATTTCATAAGGATCGGCCGACTATATCCTATAGCTGCCATATAACTGAACGATCGGAAATGACCCAACTTTCGTGTTTTTGAAGATAGAAAGCTGGAATTTAATACAGATTCTATTTTTAGTCAGTTGATCCAACCTATCAAATTTCATTAGGATCGGCCGACTATATCCCATAGCTGCCATATAACTGAACGATCGGAAATGGTATTTGGTAGAAATATCAACTTTCGTATTTTTGAAGATAGAAGTTTGGGACTTTTTTTAGATTTTGTATTGTAATAAATTGGATTATATATTCCTATTCCCATAAGGATCGGCCAACTATATCCGATGTTTGCGATATATATCCGGTTTTAGCTGCAAGGGTATATCAACTTCGGCTCCGCCCGAAGTTAGCTTTGCTTTCTTGTTTTTCTTGTTTTAATGTTAGTCTAAATAGGGCGTTAGCTTTTTTGTACTTTAGAATGTTTTCTGTAGATATGTTTCTTTTTAATTCGTTCCATTTCTTCATTTTATCGTCTCTCAATTTGCTAAGTTTGCTATTCCACCATGGTACATTTGTAGGCTTTTTTGTAGGGTGTGTCTGGGGTATTGCCTTATGAGCGCTGGAGCGCTGGGTATTGCCTTGCCTTTGTGCTTGGTTTTCTCTGTGCGGAGTATACTTCAGTGAGCTTGCAGAATTTTGGCCAGTTTGCTTTGTCGGTTAAAAAAGATGGTTTGCGTGAAGTGACTTGGAGGCTCGTTGTGTTGGAGGTGAAAAGGTTGATTATTATGGGGAAGTGATCGCTGCCAAAAAGATTATCTTCGGTGTGCCAAGAGCTGTCGATTTGGACAATTGGGCTGCTGAAGGTTAGGTCGACGTTTGTTAGTGTGTTGTGTGTGCTAAAGTGAGTAGGTGACATGTCGTTTAGTAGTATGTAGTTTGATTGAGTTATGAATTTATCTAATGTTTATTCTCTGGCGTTGTTGTGATTTGAGCCCCAGTTTTTGTGCCATCCGTTAAAGTCGCCAGTGATCAAGATGGGTATATGTAATAATACGTAATATGTGTCTAATACGGCCTGAAGGTTTTGCAGTGAGAATGATTTGTTAGGAGCTATGTATGCTTAGATGATTCTGAATTTAAGTTTGGAGTTCAGTTCTATGCATACTGCATCGAAATCGTCTCTAAGGATTATCTCTCGAGCTTGTAGCGACTTGTGGGCTAGGAGACCTACGCCACCGTGGGAAGATGAAGTGTTATTTGAAATAAGTGTGTTTTATGGGTATGGGAATGTTATTAGTATTTTATATGTGTTTCTTGTAAGGATATTATAAGTGGTGCATGTTTTTTAATGATTGTTTGAAGTTCGCAGTAGTTGTTTAGATAGCCGTTAATGTTCCATTGTATAATTTTCATGGTCGATTTTAAAGATTAGTGGTTTGTCGTTGATGAGGAGTTGGTTGGTTACTTTGGGTACTATGTTCTTTTAATAACTGCTGCTGCAAGTGTTAGGTGCTTTCAGAATCGCTTATGTTATTAATGTGTTTGTTTTTTTTTTTTGACTTTTTGTTGGTTAGTTTTGGTATGTTTTAGGTTGGTCGCTAGTGTCTTATTTTTGTCCTTTTGAAAAATTCGTTGTTATAGGTCTTGGGTCCTTTCGCATGCTATGTTGTCTTTTGAAGTGCTGGGGAGGTCGATATCCATGTGGGAGATATCAGTATTATGATGAGCGGGTGAAGTTAGTGGTGTTGTGATGTTTGCGTGTGTAGGAGTAGGTGTGTGATGGTCATTAGGGAGGTCATGATATGATGTTTGTTTTCTTTGATGTTGTTTCTGTGATGTCGGCGTGCCTTTATTTTGGTTTGTGTATTGGGGTGTGGGTGTTGTTATTTTGTTTTGTTATTGTTTTGTCGGTGTGCTGTTTGGATACAATAGATGCAAAGCTGGTGCTGAGCTGTTGGTTGCGACGAGAGTAGTAATTTTCTAGTGCTGTTTTGTGGTCGACTTTTTGTATAATTTTTATTGTTATCAGTTCTTTTTGTTTTATAAATGATTGGCAACTGCGGTCTAGTGGGCTATGTTTTGAATCTGCATCGAAAAGTTTTTTGCAGTTAATGCAGTTTTTTTCGTTGTTCCATGACTCGTTTTCTTCTGTGTGGGTTGTCTCGGAACAGTTCTTGCCAAGCTCTGTGGGGCTTTTGCAGGTTGGGGTCGGGTGTCCAAACCGTAGGCATTTTTGGAATCTTAGTGGACGTGGAATATATGGGCGTAGACGAACTTTTTCGTATCCAACGTTTAGGGATTCTGGGAGTGTATGGGTTTGGAAAGTTATTATAATTAATCCAGTTTCTACCAATGATTTGTTTTGTTTTTTTTAGAATTTTACGAACTTCAGTAACTTTTTGTGTTTTTAATTCGTTCAGTATTTCTGTTTCGTCTATGTTTTGTAATTCATTACAGTATATAACGCCCTTAGAGGAGTTTAGAGTTTTGTGTTCGGTAGATTTTACTTCTATATCTGTAATGTTTTTCAGTCTAATTAACTTGTTTGCCTGTAAGGTGTTCTTAGTTTAGTTCTGTTTATGACTATATATTTTGGTTCGCCTAGATGTTTGTGGTATATGGATGTATTTTCAGGTGGTTTATCCATTGTTGTTGGTTTTTATTGGGCTGGCGCCCGGCATTTGAACACGTGTTTTATGTGTTTGTTTTTGTTTTTTCGACTTCAGTTTTATGCACTTATTAGCTTTTTTTTTTTTGCTGAGGTTCATTGTTGGTGTTGTTGGGTATTTGTGCCACTGGAGCTCAGAGAAGACACGTCTTATATCAAAGAGGTTTGAAGTGAAACTGACAACAACATGGTATTAAAAAATATCTTTTATAAACATGGTATTGAGAAATTGAAAAAGCGTTAAAACGTTTTTTTTTACCCTAAAAAATGGAAAAGAGGTTGATGAATAAAAAAAATTTTTCATAAAAAATGTTATTATGTTTTTAGTCTCGGGACTTATTGATACATGTGTTACTTCCATTCTTCGATTTAACATACAACATGTAATAGATAGATGAATTGTTTTTTTAAAGGTCTGAACTAAATCGAGCTAGTGATTGGCTTATTTCTTATTCCATCATATTACATATTCATTTTCCGAAAAACCAGGGACTGCAAATAAGACTTATGAGTTCAAAAAAATTGAACGACAAAAAAGCCTTTGTGGGGAGTGGGAAAAGGACACATATACCATTTTTTAACGGTGAATAAACTTTTATTTTAATTTCTATTGCTAAAATTGAAATATAACTCTTATTTTCCATTTTTATAATAATAATTAAGAATAAGAATTATTTTTATGATCTGTGGCGCAGTACCTTTCAAATGATATATCGAATGTCCTTAAAGGACATAATCAAGGGTTCCTTAATAATTCCATAAATAACAGTGTTCATTACAAAAGGAAAACTCGATTATGTGAAGAAAAATTTTTTAATAATGGCATCTGCAATGACAATATTTCTCTTTATTAAAAAAACAGGTCCTAAAAATGTTTTAATCATGGAATCCTCAATTATTCAATTTATTTAGTTATATTTCTACTAGAAATTTTCAAGTGTGGGCCGAACATGTAAAAGTACACACCGAGTTTCTTAAAATTATTTCGATTATATTGAAATATTTTTTGTATTAAATTCGTTTCAAGCCAAAGCTTATAAAAATCGCCGAAATATAATTGTTCGCTTTGCAATTTTTGAGTGGCTATAAAAATAGGTTCTAGTGCCGCCAACAGCAAGTTAATTTCCTCCCAATTTGATTTCGTTAACTGCAATGTTTCACTTAGGTTTTCTTTTGAAAACTCCTTATATACGCATATGTTTTTCAACATAGTGTACGTTGAGATCCACCTTGTTGGCACATCCAGTAGAGGTTGGATGTATCCATAATTTTAAAATAGTATTGTAATTTTTAAGTGTAATGTAATGCATTTAATTTGTTTACCTATAAGTCGGAGTTCGCAATGTTTTTATTATGGATCGTGCGCTATCGACAAGGAATCTCCGACTCCTCTCTTTTAGCAGGTCATGAACAGCTAATTGCATGGAATGGGCGGCACATCTAATCGAATGTATAGAGTGAACGCGAATATCTTTCATTAGGTCGTCATCGTCAAACTCGTCACGAAATTGAGAATTCAATTCTTTGTTCATGAAGTCGATCGCTTTAATGACATTCTTGCCATTGTCTGAAGTGACAGTGTAGACTAGCTCCTTTTTTATTAAAAACTCGTTCAGCACATTTTCAATTTTCATGCTTCATGGAGCGCAATCACGACAAGCGTCTTTACTTCAATGCGGTGGTCTCGATAGTATTGGACATTGATTCCCAATATACCCCTGTTGACCCACACTAGAAATATAACTAAATAAATTGAATAATTGAGGAATCCTTGATTATGTCCTTTAAGGACATTCGATACATCATTTGAAAGGTACTGCGCCACAGATCATAAAAATGTAAGCGGTTTTTTAATAGTTCACTCGGTTCAGAAGTTATTCGCATTCAATTATTATTTTCAATTTGTATAATAAAAATTGAATCGTAACACTTATTTTCAATTTTTAATAAAAATTGAATCATAATTTTTATTTTTTTTTATAAAAATTTAAAAATAATTTTTATTCTTAATTATTATTATAAAAATTGAAAATATGAGTTATGTTTCAATTTTTGTCATAAAAATCAACAAATAATTTTTATTTTATAATTTTTATTTTAAAAATTATAACAATTACGGTCCCTGCGAAAAACAATAAAAATAAAAATAAAATAAAATTTAAATAAAAATTAAGGCAAAAAAAAAATAAAGTTAGTTTTCAAATATATCTTTTAAGTGACCGAACGTATTCGTTAGCTGGAATAAAGGCTTAGAGTTCCCTTGAAATAAAACACAAAAATTCATCTATATTAAATAACGACTAAGAACCTAGGATTTTTATTCTTCGATTAAATGTTTACATATATGTACATAAGCCGAAGATGTGATGAATTAGTGTTAAAAAACGAGTGAAGAGTAAAGCGAAGTGGCGGCTGAACGCTTCATGCAATTTACGGGAGAGCGGATGACGCAAAAAGACCTATAAGAAGCGCGCGCAGACCAATAAAAGCGGTGCTAAATTAGCGATAGTGTTAAAGTGACGTCACGGGAGGTTTTGGGGGCGATAAATTATTTTTCCGGTGAACGATTTTTTGGCATCTGAATGATGCAACATTATAATTTTTGTATGTAAGTTATATTATTTTGTTGAAAAATCCGGCCAATAGTTTATGTAGTATTTATGTGTCGTTCCATCAAATAACCTATCGAGCCATTTATCGAATCCTTTAAGTAAGTTGTCTTCCAAAACCACATTTCCTTCCGTCTCAGATTCATCAGAAAAATTGTCTTCGAGAAATGTTCCCGCTTCAGGATCATCTTCATTAGTTAACAGCTGCTTGGTTATTTTCAAAATTCTCTGAAATTAAAAAGTCAAAATACATATATAATATTATGAGATTATTAATAATTAATAAGTATTTTTTTTTTAAAATAATAATAAGATTAATAATAAATAAGTTTCACCCTGAGCTCAGAACAGCAAATACGTGCGACTATTTAAAGACCCAAGCCTCCAATTATATAAATGTTTCTAATTTGGTTCTATTAATATATTAATATATAATTCCGCGACTACTCAACACCCTAGCACTTACTATTAACACAAAGAGTACTAATTACAATCGGTCCCCATTGGGGCCCAGACTCGCCAAAACACGAATAAATAAACATTTATCTAATAAAAAGAAGTGGTTGACTTTGAGTGCAATAGTGCAGTCGAAGTGTGCCACAAAAGTAAATCTGGAACCCTATGTATGTAATAATGTAAATATATGTAATATATTATAAATGTATAAATGTAATAATAAATGTAATAATATTTATTATAAATAATTCAACTTATTGAACCTTGAAAACGTCCTCAGTCTCACAGGAACACATCCGTGGTACTGGAGTACGTGGTACATCCGTGGTACTTGAAGATTTTAAAAGTTTCCACCCCTACTGGGTACTGGGGCTCTGCAAAACCCAAAAGCAGAGGTCGGATCTTAGCCACTTTTACAGACCGCTATAATTACATCCTACTCAATAACAAGACAAAAACAGTCATTTCCACCTACCGAACGTTACCTCATATTAATAAAACTTTAGAAACACCTATAATAGCCCCCAAACTTTAATTGGAAACTAGCTAAACTAGCTATTGACACAAAAATGTATCTTTAAAATCAACCACAATTCTGATCCCATCAAATCTTGGGCTAAAATCGAGCGAAACACAGTCCCTGTATTAGCAACGCCATCACTCAAATAGTACCAACAGATCAATTCGACATGGCAAGATATTTTGAAAAATCGAGGTCAGAGAAAGCCCAAGACCCCAGCTTCCCAAACACTTCTCCTTAACATTGACATATCATATACCTCGACTTAACCAGCCTTAGATAGAGCAAAATACATATCTTTCTTGAATGCACATCCGCTCTCAATTTTCTAAAAGGCACTACGCCTAGACTTGATAGAATATCTTTCCCAATAATTAAGAACACACCTTATACCCATAACCGCAAAATTTCGTTAAATTCTATTCTGATGTATTCTAGAGTTTGTTTGTTTTAGTTTGTAATGTTTACGCTACGATGGAACCTCCAATTTGGACCAGTACTTGATCAAATCAGCGCTCACGCAGGAGCTAGTGAGCAAGCTGAAATCGGTGCTGAACGGTGCATACGTTTTAGGGAATGCACAAAGCCTGTCAATAGTATGTACTTTGGCAGAGCTTAGCTCGTGGCTATCTCAGATGGCAGAACTGCCCCTATGTATGCAGTGGACTGCCGGAATGCACTGGTAACGGGGTACCTTGGTCAGGCGGTCCGGCATTGGCCAAACGAAGCAATATGATCTTTGCGACGTTCACTCGTTCAAGTATCATGATATCCCGTCACAGTCATTGGATATAAACCCACTTTTCGTGTACGACTCAGCACAGCCCAAGCTTCTGATTCCGGTCTCCATAATTGCAGGCAGGGCGTGTGCTTCACACAAAGGAAGGCACAACAGAAAAACAGCCCAAACTTAAAAAACAAAATATCGACAGCGACAGCGATTCTTTCAAATCTGAAACCTAGAGCGGTGAAGTCGTGAAATTTGGTTAATTAAAATTTGTAATTTGGCGGTGGTGAGAAAAAAAACCCCGTCCTAGTATTGGCTGAGTTTATCCTCGGTAGTGAAGAAAGTAAGAAAAATCAGGGATTATATCTCGAAGGGTAAGTGACTCTAATCTATTGCCCTGTTGCGATTATATGGATGTGTTCCTTTTTGGTGATACCATCGGCTGCGATTGTGGGTCGTCAGGCACTTTACAGTGCAGAGGAGGACCGAGGAGAACGCCACTTCTGTAGGAAACGCGGTTCTCAACTCGACGGTTGGCGTTCGGACGGCGGACGCCCGGTCGGAAGTCTCCCTAAAAGGGATAGAAACTCTTGTATGAAAAAATCGGTAAACTTAATTTTCAGCCGCAGCCCAGGAAAGCGCTTTCGTGGATCCCTGCGGGAAATTGGAAAAATTGTAAGTGGAATTTTCTTTTGTCTACCATCATTGCTTTTAAAACAATTATTGAGAGTTCACCTGACGGTCATAAAAGTCCCGTACGGTTTTTAACAGAATATATTAAAGCAATTTAAATGCATTTATTTGGCATGTATATATGCTGCCAACGAGAGGCCCTTAAGGCAATTTGGTGAAGAGATTAGTTTGGTTTTGAATTTTTTTTTTTGAATTGGCGCCTAGTAATTTTTATTTCTCCCTAAAAATAATAATAATCTTTTGTATTATGCTAGTAAGTCAATTTTTTTTTGATTTTGAATAAAATCATTATAACGTTGTAAGGAAAAACACAATTTTGATCTCCGCTAGGAAACCCCTTCCCTAACACCTTCTAGGGGCCATCATATTATTATGGGAGGAAACCATGGCCAAGGTTGGGTGGGCACAAAAGGAGCCGCAACATCAACAGCGGATTCCACCCGATTAACCCCGAGACAGTGTTGTCCTAAAAATTGTCATAGCTCTTGAATTGTCCTGTCCGGTCTGTTTTTTGTTGATTTCGGTTCGTCTTGCACGTTTTTTTATTGTATCAATCGCGATGTACCACAAAGGTATATAACTTTCAAAGGTCAACTCACCAACTTTTCCACTTCCTAACAGAAACTTATCCCAACCATCACTTTATATATAAAAATGGCTCAAAATCTTTTGGCGGCATCAATTAGCGCTACAACAGAGTCGGATTTTAAAATTTCCGACGTTTTTTAATAGTTAAATGTTGTAGCTTTTGACGTATAAAGACATATAAAGGGGACCTCAAGCAGTACAACAAGAAACTGCGTAGGGCAAAGAGGAATGCCTGGACCAGGTTCTGCACGAGCTCAGGAAGGTGCTTGCATCCACTGTACCATAGTGAGAATACATTAAAATCTTGGATGCTATCTGAACCACGTCCAGCAAGGAAACCCTAGAGGCTCTCATAAATGAAAATATCGCAGGGTGTTCAAATATCGCAAACTAGACTGGAAGGTAAATTCTATGGATAGAGCAAACAAGGCTCTGTACTTACCGCAAGGCGATTGGGCTTAAATGGGGTATATTCCCAAAAATAGTAAGATAGCTTTATACAGCGATCATTAGACCTATCCTCTTCTACGGGGTAGTGGTCTGGTGGCCTGCCCTAACAAACTCCATATGTAGAGAAAGGTTTAGGAAAGCGCAAAGTATGGCGGAGGTTTGCATTACAGGCAGTTTTCGTACCACACCAACTGTTGCCCTAGACTTCATACTCGACCTATTAGATGTAGAGATATTGGGGGTATAATACCTTAAATTATAAGGTATCTATTCCAGCGAGGGAGGAATCCCGCGACCAGCCAGTTTCTTTCATATTTACACAGACGGTTCAAAGTTGAATGGCCAGGTGGGAGGCGGTTTTCACTGCGAGCGGCTGTGTCTAATTGAGTCCTAATTTAGTAGACTCCCCGACCACTGTGGTGTATTCTAAGCAGAAGAAATAGCTATCGGGAAAGCACTTATCCAATCAAGAAACTATTTGTATCTTCTTAGATAGTCAAGCGGCACTCAGAGCCGTTGACGAATTCTCATCCAACTCCAGGACAGTGAATGACTGTCGCAGATTTCTTAAAGATCTCTTAACGCATGGCATCCACCTCATATGGGTGCCCGGCCATAGGGATCACGAGGGAAATTGCGCCGCTGATGAACTAGCAAGGGCAGATAGTACCAATTCTATCCTTCCGGAAAAAGAACAAGTAGGTATTCTCTTAGCTACGTGTAGGCTGAAATTCAGGGATCACACCGACCTGGTAGCACTGAGGAAATGGACGAATCTCCAAAACTGCAGAAATACCGCATGATATGGCCCATCCGCTCTAGGAAAATATCAATGATGCTTGTCTTCCTTAATACGCAGGACTGCGGCTAGTCTAGGCCGTCTAGCGGTAAAGGCCATCACGGGAACTTGGTTAATAGGAACGCACGCGGCTAGACTAGCGGTGCCACAGTACGTTCACTGTAGGAACAGCAGGGATGTAAAGGAAGAGAAGACAGTCACACACCTTCTGTGCCACTGCCCTGAGCTTGGGCGCAGTCGACTCAAACTTCGAGGTGCAGCAACACTTACGGACCGAACAAACCTCACAGAGATCGCTTCGTTGCCCTTATCCGGAAAGCTGGATGGGACCGCGAGCCGCCCCAGGAGTGTTAGACTTCTTTGGGCACTTCAGAAGATACGATGGGGATGGGTTCCTTTGCAGGATCTCTTGCGCATGCGGTATCTGCACTGATCTGCCATGCACTGATCTTAATGTCACTTTAGACAAATTTTATTTTACTTTAAATACATTTTTTGACTCATGTGTGCCTTGGAAATATCCGTCCGCTTCAACAAATCCTCCTTGGTTTACAAGGTGCCTCACTAACCTAAAAAATAAAAAAAATAAGCTTTTACTTAAATATAAAAAAACCTGCAGTAGTGTTGATTTCTCTAGATACCTACTAGCTCGGTCGAATTTTACCGTGCATAACGCTGAATGTTATAGGAATTATATTGACCGCTGCCGGATTCAATTTACTCAGGATCCAAAGCAGTTTTATAATTTTGTAAACACTAAGCGTAAACACGTATATTTTTCACCCCTGCTTACGTTTGAAAATTCCTCTTCGACTTCTGATCAGGCCATTGCCGATCTATTCGCAGAATTTTTTCAAACAACTTATTCTCCTCCAAAATTGACTAATCAGCCTTACGCATATAATTCAAGCAGCATAATTTAATTCAAGCATAATTTGCATTCAAGCAGCAAATCTTATTTTCTGTCCGTTTTTTTCTGAGAACAACTTATTATC